CACAGATGAAAGATCTATTATTCAATGAAGTTGATGAAAGTGAAAACTAAGGCTTTAATTTTTTAAATTTTGCTTTGCTTTGCTTTGCTTTGCTTGCTTTTGGAATGAAAGTTTATTTTGTAGATTCTCCTATTTAATGGCACTAAAATAGCTTAAAGACTTTGCTTTGGTATTGGTATTGTTGAAGTATGATTTTCTTTTGGTTTTGTAATTTCTCCTTTTAGTTTTGGTATTAAACTTTGATTTGTAGATTGAATCTCAAACTATAATTATAAAAAATAAAAAATTTATTGACACACCCCAATCATTCCCGTATCTTATTTTTTTTGGTCTTGCCGTATCGGAATATCCGTATCGTACCAATACTAGTATCTGTATCCGCATCCGTGCTTCATAGCCAACACGTCATATAGCTTCAAAACCCCTAATGCAGCCACCTATCTGCTCACTGTCACAGCACCCATCTCCACATGCACACACTTGCATGTCAGTATCCATTGCTTGACCAGCACCATAACCGTGGTTGCCCAGAAACCAGCAGCCGCATCTCTTTATCCTCCACTTCCCTCGACACCAATCCACGAATCACCACACCACTATCACTCGAACACCTTTACTTTCACGAGAAGATAGATGTACTTTGGTTAAGACATTGTTGAGCGGTATTCCTATTTACTTTTTTTATCCTTGTTCAAAATTCCAGTGAAGCTGGCAAGGTCAATTGAAAAGTTGATGATAGATTTTCTATGGGAATGTAAGGATGACGGGAAGAAGGATCACTTAGTGATTGGGAGATAGTTTCATTTTCAAAGAATAAAGGAGGTTTGGCCATTGGTAACATAGTGGCCAAGAACATGGCTCTACTTGGCAAGTTGTTTTGGAGATTCCCAATTGAGAGTGATTCACTTTGGCATTCTATAATTAGGAGCAAGTATGAGATTCACAAATGGTTTTGAGGGGTAATCGTTGGGCTCCTTGGAAATCAATTTCGCAAATCTATACACTTTGGTCAAGCTTTCTTTCTGTAAGGGTGCGCAATGGGGAACTTGTTTGATTTTGGGAGGATGTTTGGATGGGCTCCTCGTTCGCTTTGGATTTTCCAAATTTGTATAGGGTGGCTCGGTTTTCATAATTGTTCTATTGCTTCCATGGCTTGCTTTTTTTTACTCCAATTTTTTGAAATTGTTATTTTTCTAGGAGTCTCAATGACAGGGAAGCTGCATAGTTGACGTCTTTGTTGTCTAGACTTGATCACTTTTTTTTTTTCTTGTGGTAGAAGATGAGAGGGTTTGGTCTCTTCATTCATCGGATATCTTTTGCTACTTACATATTATATACATGCCACTATCTACCACCAACACCACTATCATATTATATACATTAACACAAATTTCCAGCAGCTTCCATGGCTTGCTTTTTTTTTACTCCAATTTTTTGAAATTGTTATTTTTCTAGGAGTCTCAATGACAGGGAAGCTGCATAGTTGACGTCTTTGTTGTCTAGACTTGATCACTTTTTTTTTTTCTTGTGGTAGAAGATGAGAGGGTTTGGTCTCTTCATTCATCGGATATCTTTTCTTACAAGTCTTTTTTCAACAAAATTATTAATTATCCTTCTATCCCACAATTTCCTTTTTGTAAAAGAATTTGGAAAGCTTTTGTTCTTATTAAAGTGAAGGTGTTTATGTGGTCCTTGGTTCATGGAGGCATCTTGACAAATGATACATTGCAAAAGAGGAGACCCAACCGTTTTCTAAATCCTCAATGGTGCATTATGTATTGTAAGAATGGTGGGTCCTTGGATAATTTATTTTTACATTGTCCAATTGCTTTGATCTTGTTTCTATTGAAGAATGTTGAGTGGGTGGCTTCAAAAGGTTGTGCACAAATGCTTCTAATTGACTTTTGCGGTTTGGGAGAATCAAAAAGGGACTAGGTGCTATGGTTTTGTGCCATCTTTGCAACTTTTTTGGGTTTTGTGGTTGGAAAGGAATGCACGGATTTTTGAAGATAAATTTTGGGATGTGGATTTTCTATGGCATAAAGTTTGTCATTTATCTTTTTTTTTTTAGGGCTTCGGTGAATTCTCATTTTAAAGGAATTCCAATGTTTTTGTTAGCTAGGGATTTGCTGTCGGTTTGTGCCACGTATGGGTTCTGTGGAAGTAGTCTTTGCTTTTGGTGATCTATTTTCTTTCTCTTTGTCTTCTTACTTGTAGATAGATAATGCCTCATCCTTGTCTCTTTTTGATCTATTCAATAAAAGTTCTTAATTGTTGCTGATCGAAAAAAAAAAAAAAAAAAAAAACCCTCTATTTATCAAATAGGGGTATCTTCAAAAGGAATTAATATAGCCATTAAACAAAAATGGATAAGAAAAGAAAGGCAGTATAATGAGGCCTTACCTTGCAAAGGAACCACAGCTGCAAAACCCTAATTGCCGCTGCACTCCCTTTTTTTCTCAGCCTCAGTCTAAACTTTTAAAGGATCTTTCTAACTCTATGAACTCACAATTGCCCACATTCTACAAAGCCTATGCTTATGGCAACTATATTTATCAGAATCTCGATCTAGATCTTACAATTGTATGATCCATTTGGACACAATTGAGTTGAATCGTGTAGAGAATCTCTTATAGGTAGCATCTTTTGATCCTAACAACAGAATTTATAGGATCGTAGAATCCCAATTCAGATATGATGGTTCTTATAGGCTATTTTATTGTAAATTTTATGTTAGTTTCTTAAATTCTAATTTTACATGGTTCAAATGAATATAAATAAACCATATTTAGAAAAACAAACTAGGAAAATATATTGCAGCAATTTACGAAAACTAACCAGTCGAAAGAACAAGCTCTGCTTTAGCTTGGTGTTGAGAGGACAAGATGTACGCATTTTTATTGCCATTTCTATGCCACCAAGGATGCTAACGACAAAACCTTATAGTTGAGTCAAGCTTCTTCTTTTGAGTTTAAATCTAGGGTTATTTACTTGGAGACTTCCTAACTATTAAGAAGTATCATTGACCCTAAGCTATAAAAGCATACAAAGGACCTCCTCAACTATTGACGTATTTCACTTTGACCTCATCAACTATAAAAACATACAAATAGACCCCGTAAATTGTTGGCGTGTTTCACTTTGACCCCTTCTGTTACTACACCGTGAGTTAAATCAAACTTGACATTTTTGAGACAAAAATACCCTTCAACATTCTATATAATCTATTTACAATTCCATTGTTATTGTTTTTAAATTTTTTAAATATAAGCATTCATCTATTATTATTGTTTTTGAAATATCTGTAAATTTATTTTTGCAGAAAGAATATTTAAAAAAAAAAAAAGAACTCAGAATATAAATATATATATGTATATAAATTAGTTAGTTTGATAAATGCTTACCTTGAAGTTCATGCATCCCAAAAATCTCCTTCCAAGATTATTCTCTATGAATGTAGTTCTCAAAGGGGCTCTCATGCCACAGTAGCAGCACATATCACCCAAAGTTTTGTAGTTGTTGGCTACTAGATGTGATTTCCTTTTTGCTTGAGCTTGTGTTGCCACTGGATGCTATTTTTTTTAGTGTTTGGTTAATTATTAGGGAGAGGGACTAGAGGAAAATTGAGAGGAACTGCTAGAGTAGGTGTGTTATAGAGTGCTGAAGAGTATTTCGTCTAAAAAATGTCAAAAGTTTGGTTTAACTCAGTGAAGCAATGGAAGGGGTCAAAGTGAAACATGCCAATAGTTTAGGTGGTCCATTTGTATGTTATTTTCGATTCTGATTTTCTTACATATTTTTCTTTTGTTTCTATTCATTTATTGTAGAGTGCAAACTGTTTTGTTATAAAACTCTTTATTTTTTATTTTATTATTTATGAAACGCAATTTTTTTTCTTTCTATTTTTTAATGTTTTACATGAAGCATTATATTTTTCACAATATCTCTTCTTCTTTTTGGTATAATTTAAGCTTATTTTGTATGTAATTTTTAAGAAATGTTTATTCAAATTAAATTGTTTTGTATTTTTTTATTTTTAGGTAGGATCATAAGATCCTCAATCCGATTCTGTAAATTCCTCCAACAATCCAATGTAGGATCTCGATTTTGATGACTTGGATGGAAACCCACAAACCTATAGCCCCTTGTTTCTCGAGGCTAGGGAATTGAATTTGTTTTGACTGACATATAGTATAACATTAGTATTTATCTCATTCAATATAAATGGCATACCACCCAAAGTGGGTCCCTTCTAAAATAATGCACTCTTGTTCTCCATTAATTTTAAAATTAATATATTTCCAAATACTCTTACTTTTGATTAATTCCACATGAGTTTAAGGCTCCGCTTAACAAAACAAATCAGATAATTTTTTCATTAATTTTATTATTACCAAATTGTGATAGAATGGAAAAATTCCCTTAAATCAGATAAATCCAAAATTAAATTTATCATGAAAGTTGGGTCAAGATTTTACAAGGCCGCCATATTGCAAGCCTCCATACATAGTATCTCCTGACCTTTCCATAACTCATAATTGTATTCGTCATTGGCTGGCCATTCTACACTAGTTGGATAAGGTAATTGGAAAGGATAGAAGGGCTCCACTTTCTCTTGTACAGACCATGAGGAGTTGGATGTCTTGAAATGATGTGTCCTATGGGTGACTTAATGGGAGGATCAATTTAATTTTAGAGGACATCCAAATATTCCCCTAGAGTGCTTGCATCATAATCAGGTAGTTTGTAAAATTCAGTTTTGAATCCTTCAGAGCACAGGTATCTGATAAAAATGCATTAAGTACATCTCTGTGGTCCGTTGTACATGGCTGGCTGATGCTTTTTAGAATTCATGTTCAACATTAACAATTTGTATGCTGCTGCTGTTTTTCTTTTTTGTTCTACGGTTTTTTTTTGGTTTCCTTTCAAAATACTATTTCAATTTGGAATGCAAAATGTTGTAGAAATCATGTGTATTTGATGTGCGTCATTCTTTGCAGATTACAAATGTATTTTTGGATGGCCACTCAAATCCGGAGGTGCAAATCATTGGATTGAAGATGACTCCAATATTAGAACATCTTAAGGTGCCTGATCCTGTAGGACTATTGCGTTATTCTTGTGTGCCTTCCTGAATGTGATACCAATTTGGACCAATGACATATGTAGCCTCATCCACAGTGTCCTGCATGTGATCTTTATCAAAGTGGTAAATTCCCCCATTTTTGCGAAGCACCTATTTCTACTTTTTCTTGTTGGAATAGTAAAATGTAAAGTTGTAGAATATGCAAAATGATACTTTTTGTATGTTTAGTACAGCTGGGCATTTTTCTGTATCTGTTTTTGTTATGGATGAAGACTGGAACTTATGGCAACTGACTTTTAACCTTCCCCCCTTTGCATAATTGAGCATAATTGATACTTGCAAATGGCATATCGAGTTTTTGCTAATTTGTTGATTTTTTTATTATGTAATCTTATTCAATAGGAATCAGCCCATTGAAACAAAGCACTTGCTTGTTAGTTATTCAAGTTTGATTGTACCATAAGTTGTGCACAAGAGGATTGTTGTACACCATAGTTAGGTCGTACGCTTGAGACTTTCTTCATCTGTTACCCAACAAAACCGGTGATTGTGGCCACCTTTTTCTCTATTTGTTTCAGTAGGCTTCTCTGTTTGTGTAAAGGCAGGTAACAGAAGGGGAAGTTCCTGTCAGGCTTGTATGCCCCTTCTATGGTCCCAGGAAATTCAAAGATCAAAATGGATTATCCGGTCTTCCAGAATTTCATGTTCCTTGTATGTCTATCCAATAAAGCTTATATAGTTTGAAAAATAGTGATGCAACGAAACATCATTTATGAGGCACAAGGTTACCTTGAGTTTTGGATGTTATATGCTAAGGGTTAATTGCACTTTATACTTTTAAATTATTGTCAAATTATTTACTTATGAACTATTAATTGAGTTCAGGAAGTCCTAAAAGTATATAAATTGATATCTACTTAGTTTTTGAACTATCAATTGAATTTATTGAATTTTTAAAATTTGAACTTATTTAGTCTGTAAAAAGGTTACAGAAGTAAAATATAAGCCAATTAGTATTAAATATTAGTAAAAGATCTTACCCAATTAAAATTTTATTTCAAATAAATATTAAATATTATTTTTGTTTATGGTTTTTGAGGTAAAGTTAAGGAATTTTTTTTATAAAAAAAATTCTCTGATATTAAGAATTTATAAGATAAAAGACATAATGTATTTTCATAGTAGTTGAGGTCTCAATATTTTTAGAGATAAATCAATTTAGAGAAATTTTGTCCGATTCAGAGAAATTTGGTCCTGATTCAGAGAAATTTTAATTTTCACAGAGGAATTTTACAAAGAAATTCAAGATTTCACATTTTTTTATGAAAATTGAAATTTCTATGAGTTGAGCGAATTTTTTTTGAGTTGAATTTTCTTTATGAAAATGTTGTGGGACCTTTTAGCTAATAATAAATAATAATAAAAAAACATCTTGGATATTTTTTACTACACAAACTTAGAAGGAATATTTCACTAATTTTTTTTAAAAATTAAATCGAAAGGTTCCCCAAATAAATTTTCTTTATAAGGATAAGTGTTGATAGTTATCTAGATTTTCTTATTTCTCTTTTGTAATTGCTATTTGCTTTACCTTTGTCCAGTATTATATGTTGAACTTCATTGTTATTTTTTAAGGAAAATTTTTCGATGTGTAATGCACAATGTATGCGACCCTATTATAAAATTACGGAAGTTTTCACCAACTTACATAAGTGATCTCATACAAATGCGTAAATTGAATACAAATTCGCATAAGTCTTTAAGTTTTTATGAACTTACGTAAATTTGTGTTTAACTTGCACATTTTTGTGAAATCAATTATGTAAGTTAATGAAAACTTATGTAATTTTGTGATAAGGTTGTATATGGTATGCATTGCACACCGGAGTATTTCTCATTTTTTTAATTGATTATCCTTAAGATTTTTGTTAAGTTCATTTAATAACTTGATTAAAGTATTATTTTGTTCGATTTTTATTTGTAAATCAACGCATTTATTTAAATTATCTAATTTTACTTTTTCAACATATCTTTACTTATATAATTTTAGGGCAAATTACATATACCCCCTCAAGGTTTAGTTAAATTACAGATACCCCCCTGAGGTTTCGAAAATTACAAATATCCCCTGAGGTTTATATTTTCATAACAAATTGCCCTATGAGATTGATATTTTCATAACAATTTGCCCCTAATTTGTTATGAAAATATAACCTTCAGAGGGATATCTGTAATTTCTCAAACCTCAGGGGGTATCTGTAATTTTACTAAACCTCGAGGGGGATGTATGTAATTTGCCCATAATTTTTTATTAGTAAGACTTAAAAATTACATTCTGGTACCAATTAAAACACACACACACACACAAAACTTTTTAAAGACAATAAAAATTTAGTTTGTCAACATATCTTTACTCATAATTTTATTAGCAAGACTCGAAAATTAGACTCTGGTACCAATTAAAACACACACACACACAAAAAAAAAATTAAAACTTAAAAATTAAAGACAATAAAAATTTAAGCTTTTTTGAAATAAAATTTTAACTAGGGCATCTTACATTTATTTTATATTTTATTTGGGCACCCAATGCATAAATCCAAATTTAAATTTTGTTTGTCTAGAAGTCTACACTTTAAAATATTTTGTTCATAAGGACATGCTGGTGCAAAATGTCCAAACTACCCATATATACATATATACCTATTTAGGGTTCTCTCTCTCTATCTCTCTCGCTCTCTCTCGCCTCCCATGATCCGCCGCCGCACTCTCTCTCTCTCTTCGATGGTATATATTGTTGCTTCCTCTTATTCCTCTCCAGCGTCTACTCTGGTCGACTCATCTCTGACGGCATCTATGATGATGGCTTTCTTGCTTTGCCGCTCCTGCTTTGCCTCAACAACCCCTTCCGATCATCTCACTCCTGTGACTAGACCTACGACTTCTTGCCTTGCACCACCATCGTATTCGACAACCTCTTTTTTATCATTGTCTACAACTATCTCATGTTCTTCGCCGCAATGAATCTCTCCAATGGCAGTGACTATCTCATGTTTTGTGTGTACTTACCTCTATCTAAACTTGTCAGTTTCTCTCTTTTTTGTTACACCTCTCTGCTTCTTTACTTTACTTTCTCTCTCTAAAACTATGGTGCCCCAAATTCTATTCTAAGTGTTAAAGTTGAGGAAACGTCACTAATGAGTCATTTGGTTAATAACCAAATAAAATCTCAGGAAAGATCGGATGAGTCAATATAGCCTCCTTTCTAAGTCTAATCTCCTTAGATAGCAAACTACCTTTTTGACAAATTTTAACAAAGTATTAGCATAAGAACTACATAAGTTGACGGGGAACAAGAAAAGGTTTACACAAAAGGTATATAGGTATATAAGCAAAATAATTATTACAAGCTCATATCTTAAATAGCACAAGAGTTTTTATATTACAATCCCAAAACAAGATTACAAAAGGGATTTAACAAAATTAGTTTTTAATTTCTTATAGGGTACCCATATGTCTTCAAACACTTCAGTTTCGCCTTCGACAGGTTAATAGTCTTCAATACTTGATATGAAACGCCATGAGCTTGACCTGCCTAGTAAACGCACACACACCCCGTCCCTTTTTCCTAATCCAATACACAATTACAATTATAATAAGTAATGAAGCATGATATTCAAGTCAATAAATAAAGGGATCATAAAGTTATGTGTTAGTAAATTAGAAATCTCTCAAAGAGACTTCATCCTCTCAACTACAAGAATTAGACTCGGATCATTTGGTACCCTCTCTTTTGCTGTTTCGCAGACCTTATCCCAGATACCTACAACAGTTATATACTACTTAGCGTCAATCGATGACCTCGAAAGAGATAGTAAAATAAGGGTCAAGACCCAAGACCTCCTCCAACCTTATCCACCATTTACACTTAGGGTCCAAATACATTCAATCCCATTCAAGGGTTCCGAAACAACCACTTGAGCAAATCTTAACCTTCAATTAGGGAATGCATCCCATCAATCCTTGCTTGAAATTAACATATCATTATCTCATAAAATTCAATTATGTGATCAAAAACCTAATACCACACACCTCTATTAAGTTTCCTGTTGTGTTAAGTGTTTTAAGCCAATGTTAGAACACGTAATTGAAATAGCAATTTCAACACAAGTATAAACATTTCAAGGCATAAATTTAAGGTAATACAAACAAACATGTAGATGTCATACTAAAGCTTGAACAAACAATAAGAAGCATATTCAATCAACTAAGAACATGGAACTATTAACAAGAACAAATTTTCAAATTCAGTTTACTTTAAAGATAACTTTCAAAGTAGCATTTTTAGAATTTTTCTAAGCTCAGCCTCTTTTTTGGAAGTTAACTAAAAATACCGGTTATTGGTGCACAAAACTTGAAATAGTAAGAGTTGTAAGAAAATGGGGGCAAACCATGGATAATTTTACACTTTTCTTATGATGAAAACATACCAAATAATATACTAATAACTCAAAATTTTAGTTTGGAGGTGTGCCTTTAAAAATAATGTAAGATATAGATAGAGATTGATGACTTTACTTTAACAAAGAGAGAATACAAGCAATGTAGCAATCAAAGCTCAACTTCTTTTGTTCAAACACAAAAACCCTATACATTGACATATGAAAACAATAATATAAGCATGTAATGTCATGTATTTAGTAGAGCAAAGAGAAGGATAGGTTGTTTTGTGGTTTACTTGTTTGCCTAGAAAAGTTGTTGTGCAAGATTGCTCTCTTTTTCTTCCTCCTCCTCCCAGGGCTCACTCTTGCTCTTCTCCCTCTCCCTCCTTGTTGAAGTTATATGTGTGTGTATGTGTTTGAGTGTGTAAAAGTGTTGAGGGAGGTAGTCTATTTATAAGAAAATTGTGGTGAATTGTCTAAAGTGCCCTTGGTTCCAATGGAATGGAATAGTTTTGGATTTAGTTGAAAGGCAATAGAATGGAGGTTGATTAGGATATCTAATTATGTTTTAAAACATGATTTAATTATAGGTTAGTCAATATAGAACTAGATTGTGACACCCCTGTTCTGTATTATGCTAATTGGTCCCAAATACGAATGTGATTATATGTTTTGATATGATTTTGTGTGCCATTATGCGAATATATGTGATTTTGAAGTTTTATCCGTTCACCGTAGGAATATCTGTTTGAATAATCTGCTTTGGAAATTAAATTGAGGGCCTTATCGGCCACAGAACCCGGAATCGATTACGCCATTGTGATTGGCATAATTTTTAGAGCCTACGGTGAAATTAATTGAAAAATTGATTCGG